ATTGTGCAAAATCTTTTCCTCTATTTTGGTATAAAGCGAAAGTTGTTCTTAGATGTAAGATTTTTCTATTAATCTGGACCCCAAGAGTTCTGCAGCATCTTTGAGGAGATCAAAGTCTCCCACTAAATCATTAAGTTCTTCTTAAGAGAATGTCGGTGGCACATTGCTTGAATATGTTGGAGCAAATTCTACATCTTTATCTGCAGCATTCTTCCTCTGAGTGAATTTCTACATAATCAAGATTAACAGTTGGAGTAAGGATTGGTAGATCAGCTCTGCATGGTACATGTCTTATTGTTGATGGAATATTAGGATAAGTGATTTCTTTAATATTCTTTTTCTTATATCCTTGAATTTTGCAGGAACAAAAATAGAAAGTATTACTATGATTTTTTTTGCTTCTCTCCATATCACTGCAAGAGTGTTTTCTTTTCTTTTTGTCTGTTATCTTAATTCCTCAAAATAAATAAAGGAGTCACTGTGAGAAGCCAAGTTTTCATCTCAGCCTCTTTCATTCTAAAGTAGACATAATAGGCTTTTTTTTACAAAATGTTTTATGTTCTTTTTTTTTTCTTTTTTTTATTCACAGGAACTATTGATGCCATGACATCATCGTTAACAGCACAATAATTTTCTAATTTATCTACAAAGACATAAACAAATCAATTAGTATCACCATATTTTCAATAAATCACAAATTTTATATGACATCATACTTTGTATCAGTGTTAAGATCAGACGTGTTTAATTGCTAAACATGCTTCTTCTTAATGGTATGACTCATTGCTGTGTTGTGTTCCAGTTATATTCTATCTGTTGTTCATCATAAAAGGTACTGAATCTAAACAAATAGTGTCATCCAAATAAAATATCCACATCTATGGAGCAAACTTATAGTGAACACAAAAAAATGTTACATGGGGGGTGGGGAATGGTTCTCATTTTTTAATTCACCACCTAAAAATATATAACAAATGACCTGAAATAACAAAAGCAATTTTTCAGTGTATACCCGTGTTATCTTAGTTAACAAGTTTCTTTAATTAGTATATTTATTTGTTATTATTTATTCCTTATTACTGTATTTAATTACTTAATATTTGTAATCATTTTTCAGTAATGCTTTTTTATCCAATGTCTTGATGGTCAATATTTAGCTTTTCAGACTTTAAACCTTTTTTTCTTTAAATAATATTCTTAGAACTCTTTAGTAAATAATACACTGTACATTCCTCAAAATAACAAAAACTGAAACAAATATTGGGAAAATGCTATTCTCACACTTCATATTTTGATTTAGTGTGAAAGTCTCATTAAATTAAATCTGGTCATCATTGAGAAAATTTTGGGTCCTTTTTTTGTTTTAATAGTTTTTTTTTCTCTATATCATGACAGCAACTTTAAATATTTTATAAAAATGAATAAAGATAATGTTGCCTTTTTACTACACATAGTTTAAGATAAACTGTATACATGAACCAATGAATAGGATCTTTGGTAGCTTATAAGTTCATGGGTTCACATGTGGACAGTGTTTATCAATGAAATATTCTTTCTTTTTTTATTTCATTGTTAGTATTGAATTATTGATTAAAGTGTCTGCTATACTCTTTGCAAAAAGATATATTTTTGCAGATATATTCCTGTAAAGTCATTAAGTTAATTGAAATCAAACTTTTGACAATATGCAATATTGTAATGGTTATATATTTTTGCTAACTTGCCTGCCAATAATCTTTCTATTTACTTTTTGACCTTCACATAATCTGTTTCATTGCCATGCTTCTACTAACATTACCAAGACCATTTTGGACATTATTTTTCTATGAAAAGTGAGTAAGAATCATCTTATGTTACCAACTCACATTGTAAAGTGATTGGAGATGATAATCAAATCCTATTATAAGATGGTTTAATCATCCTTAAAAGCAATGTAATTGACATTTTGTTTTCTCTTTTTTATAAATAAAAAGATCAATAATAATATTTTATTATAGTTTGTATGACAAATATTATTTTTACAAAAATGACCATTTCCTTTTTGAAGGAGAAAAAGAAAAGAGGACATTTTAGAATGAACTAAAGTTTCCTATTTATCTACAACATAGTTTCATTCATAATCTACTATGACAAAAACCTATTTCCTATGAGTAATAAGAATTTCTGGTGGTAGAAATAAATTTAAGTATGATTTTTTCTTATGGAGCTATGTATAGATGATTTTCTTTATTTAGAAGTGTCCATTTTGAAAGTAACATGAATCTTTTTAAGTGTATTTATTTGAAAATAGATACAAAATATTTACAAATGATCTATAATTTATTTTGATCTCTTATTTAACTACTCCTACTACTAACGTACTTCTTTAATTATTTGCATCTACAGTTGAATTTCTTAGTTATTATTCTTTTTGATAAACATAAAATATAGCTTGGCTCAAGGCACTTAACCTGATCAAGTAACAATCATATTACCTTTCTGCCTAATTTTTCATGTCATGTTTAAATCTTAGTTTTTTTTATCTACAATTGACCTCGACACTTGCTTCCTATCGGCTATTTCCTTAAATGAAAATATCACAGAGTAAGTAGTCTAAAATATTTTAAATGAGCTGAAGTGGAATAGGACATTGTCCCTAATAATTGTGGGTTGTAGTTTCTGAAGCCCATGCTGTTAGGTAAGTGAGACCTAACTTTCAATGACATCATGGAATATGAATGAAAACATAAATGAATAGTAATAAATTGGTATATCATATTTTTAAATATAAATAATCAGTCAGTATTATTATAAAAAATATAACATTTTATATTAATTTTATCATAAATCCTTTTGTTTATAATGAAAATGCTACAATAAAAATACTTCTAGTCATATTTTAATAAATATCTTCCCTAATATAATGGTTAAGAATTTTATGATAATATATATAGCAAATATTGTGTTGAAATAAAAGTTTATAGTGTTTTTCAATATGTGATTTTTGTTTCACACATGACTGGAATTTATGACACATATACAAATTCTGAAAGATAACATTTCTTTCTACATGGTTCATGTGTAGATTTGTAAATTTTAAATATATTGTGTTAAGTGAAAATGGAGTAAAATTAGGTGCATTTTGTCATTTGATGCTCTTTTATTTCCAGAAGGGAAAAAATGCTGTAGAAGCAGCAAAAAAGATGTCATTTATGATCTGTAGCTGAGAGTATTGTTCATAAGTGGTATGCTAGATTCAGATGTGGGAATTTTGATATGGAAAACCGAGAACATTCTGGCCAATCAGCAGTCATTGATGATGACCAAATCAAAAGACTGATTAAAACTAATCTGGGTCATACAATATAAGACATCACAAAGATACTCTGCATATCTTATATGAGCATTGTAAGGTATTTGAAAACACTTTGAAATGTTTGGCTGTCTTATGATTTAATGGAAAAAATTTTAATGGACCACATTTTCACCTGTTATTCACTACTCAAACAACAAAACTCACTTTTGAGAAAAATGATTACAGGCAGTGAAAAATAGATTGTTTACAACAATGTGAAGTGAGAAAGGTCATAGATAAAAATGAAATTAGCCTCTGTTACTCACTCCAAAAGCTGGCCCACATCTTGAGAATGTTATATGTATCTGGTGAGATTGGAACAGCATTATATATTATGAGCTCCTTCTACAAAATCAGACATTAAATTTAGACAAGTACTTGTCTTAATTTGACAAATAAAAGGTAGCAATCAATGAAAAGAATCCTGAATTGGCCAATTAGAAGAGTTTCATCTTCTATCAGGACAAATGCATCTCTTTGCAGAATGTAGCACAGTTTGGTGGGAACATTTTAATACATCCACTGTATTCACCTGACCTTGCACCTTTGGATTGCCATTTATTTTAATTACTACAAAATTCTTTAAATGGGAAAAACTTCAATTCTGTGGAACTCTGTAAAAAACAGTTCATCATCCAGATCAGTGGCATGTTCAAGGAGGATGGAACTATAGTCTTTGTAAAGAAAACATTTAAAAATCTATATAAATTAAAATTTTGTAAAACAAGACAGATTCAGATTATAGTCGGCATATTATTAGAACATATTCTATGAATCAGTTTCAGGTAAAAACCTCTTTTTATTGAAAATTATTAATAAGACAATATCCTTACTGAGTGGATACTAACTTAAAAGTTGACTTATAATTCATGAAGAAAGATGAAAATTACACATCATTTAAAATTATTGATTTGCAAAGTTTCATCTTTTAAGCATGTATAGTTATTAAGTTATTAGAAATGTATACTCTTCAAGTAACACACTTTCAAATAGAGCTAAGCATGTTTCTGTTAAATATACACATGTATTTTGTGTCAAATATACACATGTATTTTGTGTCTACTATGATTGCATGTTAGATAGAAATAAAAGGACACCATATCAATTAGGATAGTCTGAGTAGCATTTGGATATAATAGTTTGAGTCAAAATAGTAAAAGAAGTCATTAAGAAAGTTTCCTGTATCTTGTTTATTTCTTACTGGATGAAAACCATTTTCATAAGAAACTGGGCTAAAAAAACAATTTCTTCAATAAAAAAATTTTGTATTTACACTTTACCTGTTTTTTGTTTTTGAGTTGAATATTTTTATAAGACCAAATTTTCACCCTTTAGAGAAGGCAAACTGTAGTGGAACAAAATGGTAAATATGTGGTTGAATAAATCTATATACAAATATTTAAGTATTATCTTAGAAATTTACTTAAAAATTGCTACAAATTTTTGTTCCAATCCCATATTTATCCTTTTAGTTTAATAATCATTTTTTTCATAATTTATCTGATGGTTGTATATTTTATTTAAAACAAATGCTAAATTTGATTTTAAGAATCATTTTCATGAATGATTTTATAAAATTTTTACATTCATAATTGTGTAATAAAATTTTCTTATTTCCACCATTATAAATACTTATGGATGAATAACAAAGAAAATTGTTTTTCAGGAACTGGAAATTGGTATCCGTTCTCATCAAGGTACTGTAAATAGTATGAATGCAGCTGGCAATGAAATCATTCGCCAATCAGCAGCACCAGATTCTCATTTATTGAGAGAAAAGCTGGATGCTCTCAATCATCGATGGAAGTGTTTGTGTGGCGATGTCCTCGATAGGCCAGACAAGTAAGAACTATAAATTTCATATATACTTTTTGTTTTAAATAATTTGTCATGATGATGAACTTTTCTATCAAGTAATGTTGAAAAGAAGTTCATTCACTGCAACTTGATTTCCTAAATATATCAGCATGTATGTATATATTCAGTATAGAAAGAGACTGTTTGATTTGGCTTGTTTTGTTTTACAGCATATCAACCTCAATGGGTTATTTAATGCTGACAAGATTTTTATTGCTGGTAATATTTTTTTTTCAAAAATGTGTTCCTGATAATAATTTTTTCTTCAAAAGTTCATTGCTGGTAATAATTTTTTACAAAAATGTATTGCTGATACTAAAACCTATTTTTACACTTTCATTGTGTTTTGACCCCAGTTTGGAGGTTAACTAATTGCCCATAGCTTGGATCCTAACAGGTGCTACCTCCTTGGGTCAGAGTGGACCTAGGAACAACAGCAATTAAGAGGTGGTTCCATGCTCCTCAAAACCTCCTGATCAGAGGCCTTGCTGTCAGATGTAATTTATTGTCTTACCTAGGACGCAGATGTAGTTTATCATCATACCCAGGAGAGTTGATATTAGGATCTAAACTCACAAATCAAATTTTAACTCCACTTAACTCTTAGCTGCAGCTTTGCTGAGTTGTCACTTTAGGTAGCAAAATCAAATAAATTCTATTTAAGTTGAAACTACAACAACTATTATTGATGAATATTAATTTTACTTGTATGATTCAGCAAGGGAATATAAGATTACAGCTCAGTCAGTCAGGTTTTATTCTATTATTTATATCCAATTAATGGGACAGGTTGATCAGGACAATAGACTAGTGGATTACATTGTTTTTTTTATGAATTTGGTGTAATAGCAATTATGATTTCAATCAATGAAAACAAGGCAAGCAATAACTGAGCAGTATGAAATAAGAACTAGATGGGATATCCCTTGACATGGGTAGAGGGAAATGAGGATATTCTGTGCCCATCAACATACACCTGATGAAGCCTGGAGTGCACAATGGCCAAAACATGATAACAGCAAAGATGAGGACAATAGTCTTCATGTAAATAATGGTTTTTAAAAATATTCATTGAGTCTTTGTAGATTACAATATTTGATGTATTACAATTTGATAAACTTCTGAATCTCATGTGAAACATTTTAAAGAAAAATATATTCTTGTTTTAATATTTCCTACATTTTTATAATCCATCGTATATGTGTGAATATATGTGTGCACACATACACAATTCTGGATTAATTTTAAAATATTCCACCAATCAGTTTAAGCTTACTTATTTTTAAATTTATGTGAATATTTTTTAACAATGTTGAAAATTTATTTATTTATTTATATTTTTAAGTGTCTACCTTAACAAGAGCAACCTTTTAAAATATATCTGTTACTGATTGCTTCAAGAATTAAATAATAAAAAATAAATAAAATTCATGGGCAATCCTGTCAAGAGCAGATTACAGCTAAGATAAAAAAAAACTATGAATTTTTGTATTTTAGAAATAAACATATTTGGATATGATTATTTATTTGTTCATTAATCTAAAATGTTTTAGTTTTGATAAATAAAATCCAACTTTTAGGCATTTCAAAATTTTATTGTGACTAGACATTTATTTAAAGGAATATTATAGTTTACCATGTTTAACAAATCTCTGATATTCTTAAACTAATTAGAGAATTCAATATACATGAAAACATTAACTTTATGAATAGTATAAACTCTAAACAAATATGTTGCTGTCTTAAAATGTATTGTCTGATAAAATACAAAGGTGGTTTTTGTGAAAGCTGAAGATTTCTTACAGAAAAGTATATAAAGGAATAACTTGATTCTCTGTTCTCTTAATATTTTTGATCATACAAAGTTCTTGCTTCAGTTTAAACATAAGGAACTTCAGGGTTTTAAAGTATTTTGAATTTTATTTTTATTTTGAATATGATGATGACTATGTCATTATCTTATAAAGGGGTGCATATTTTTCCCAAATACCAACAAAATATATTGATTTTTTTTTTCTAACTGAAAGGAAATTAATGCTTTTTAGAACCTAACCAAGTAAAAAATAAAATAAGGGCCTGGAAAACCATGTTTTTTATTATCATAGTCTCTCAATGTGTGCTTTGTTGTATATCTCAAAAGAATAAGATATCTTCGATTATGAAATTTGTGCATTTGCTCTCTTTAGTGGTCTTGTATATAATCTGTCCAATAAGTTTATCTCAAAAGCAGTTGTAAGTCAGGAAATGCCAAGAAACCTTACTACTATGTTTATATTGTTGTTTCCTCAGTCAGAAATAACACAAATGAACCAAAGATGAAATTACTATCCTTTCCCACTTATTCCATTATGTTTCAAATCATAGGTAGTTCTTTTTTAAATTTATTTATCTTTAACATTCTCTGCTTTTCAAGAAAGAAAGCAACAAAAGTAAACATTTTTTGGCTCTGGCCATCTGGTTAGGTTGGCATAAATATGAGATATCCGTCTGTCTTTAGTAAAAGGAAGAATTAATGAAATTCTGCTGATGGATTCCATTCTCTTGGAGGTCTGGGTCAGACAAATGGATTGCAATTTTTGTGATGGCATCAACCTCTCTGATCAATTACTCAGATATGTTTGTCTTAGTGTTTTGAGAAAGAACAGCCAGTTGTTAAACAAAACCCTAACTTTTAGCAGGTGAAAATATAATCTGCATGTTAATACTAGATTTTCATATGTACAGTTTAATATTACTCCAAATGTTATTTTTAGTGGATACCTGTGTTTGAATAGATGCCCCATTTTTTTTTTAAACAGTGTATTATTCAAACATGGGTATCCACTAAAAATAACATTTAAAGTAATAAAAATGTCAGATTAAAAAAGAATCTATTCTTTAGAGTTTAGTATATAAATGATTAAATATCTCAAAATATAAATGTATCTGTTGAAAATATAAAATTGTTCTACTTAGAGGAAGAATCCCTTTTTATATGTGTTTGTACACATATAAAGGGATTCTGAAAAGTTCTCAACTAAATTCACTTCCTAAAATCTGACCAAATGATCAACATCAAATTTTGCAAGGAAGGGCACTTCTTATATTGATAACTTTACTGCAATCTCTACTAGAAGAAAACAAATACTTGTAAATAACATATTAATTGTAAAGAAAAAAATATCAGAAGACCTAAAAAACAAAACTAAAGAAAATCTCTTTCAAATTAGAACTGCTGTTTTAAATGTATCCCATGATTGACTATATTTATCCAATGAAGAATCTGACTTGCCAGTCACATGTGCATGTAATAATGATAACACAATATTCAATGCAGTGTTCTAAAAGTATTTGAATATGTGAAAGCTTGACATATCCACATGACTCTGGATCATGAAAATGGCCAGAACTCGAACCAAAGGACTCACTCACAAATATTCAAACAGTTTTTTTATTCTTAAAAATCAAGTGCATTGACACATTAAGGAGACAGATAACAGTATTACAAAGATAGGGAGTGCCAGGTTAGCATAAAACTTCTTGCTTCATGTTCCAACATTTGCATAGAAAACAACATTTTGAGTATGTCTTTTATGACTCATGCCCACTGTAATTAGTTTACTTAAATGAACTTGTAAAATCTGTGATACTCAAGAATATAAATACTATGTGTAATATATATTTTGTATATGTCATTAATGTTTCATCTGTGTGGTATCTGTAGTGAGAAACTACATATCACAAATATTTCATGTTACTTTCATCATGTCATACTTTCAGAATACATAAGATGAATTGTCATTTTCCAACTGGTTCTAACTTTTGATATGATTCCATACTGTATTGTACTCAATATATTGATGATGATCTTCACATAATTGCCTTTGAAAACATTAAAAATACTTATTAGCATTTTGTTTCTTGATCATACTTTGTTATATTTATATATAAATAGTAGCTATTTTTCATTAAAATATAAAATGGCAGAAGAAAAACCTTATGGGAAATGTGAATTATCTTTATTTATGTAAAAGTAGAAAACACAAGACTTCAAATATGACATATGACTTAATAAAACAAAATTTTTGTACATGTTCATCTATATACTTTGTAAATTTGAAATGTATCTTAGATATACTAAGTTAAATACTTCACAGAAAATATCACCTATATCAAATAAACTTAAAATTTGAATAAAGAATATGAAATAACTATTCAGAACAAAAGCAAAGATAAAAAAAGTATTTTAACAGTCTTTATGGGTCAGAGAATTTAATTAGTAATTCAAGCCACAACACATCCAAAGATTAAGTTTTATAGTATAAATTTTCAATACTATGAATTTTTCTGTAATTTATTGTACATTGTATTGACTATAAAAGTTAAGACTGATACATATATAATTACAAAATCAATTCTTATGTTTACTTGCAAATTAAAATTCTGTTAATCACACTTTTTTTCAACATTGAATCAGTTGCTGAGGTAATAGCTAATGTTATCAAATGAATCAACATAAAACAGTTGATTTAACACAGGGAAATTAGTAAGTTTACTTTTTTCCATTTATATGCATTAATAACTATTTAAACAAATAGTAAACATAATGTCTTAAAGTGTAGAATTATAAACTACATTTTACACAACACTTGTTAAAATCTGCTTATAATTTTTATTTAATATAGATTTTATGTTAGTGCATGTATTATCACTTAACTCATTTTGCCCTTTTTACATCAATATATGTTCAAAAGATAAGGTAAGTATTACAATAAAGCTTTAAATGTTAATGATACTTTATATCCACCCTTATTTAATTTTCTCATAATGTTAAATCAGTCAAATAATACTTTATTATACATATTATTTTTTATTTATTTTATGTTGATACTTTAAAAAAAAACTATTGCCAGTTAACTCTTCATAATATCTTTAGAGAATTCAAAAGAAGCTTGTCTTCCTTCTGCTGTAGCAAGATGGTATGAAAGAAGATGTCAGTTTGATGTTGGATTGTACCTAAGCAGATTATATATGACTGCAAAGGTACTTTGAGTGAGTGTATTGCTGTTTTCTGCAGCTATTTCTCAACTGACTCAGATTGTTTACTATGACCATGATAGAATTTTTTATTTCTTCTCCTTTTCACTGAAATAATCCACTTATAATGATCTGTCATTGATAAAATTTCCAGCTTTCTATAATTCCAGAAAAGTGAGCTCTTAAACTTAAAACATTGTTTCATTTTTTCTATTATTATTATTATTATTAATTGATCTTATTGACTTCTTATTCATGTCCATTTGTTTTTAGGTTTGATGATGAGAGTGTGAAAACTAGTGAATTTACAGATGACATGGATGAGCTATTTTTATGGGTTGATGAGACAGAAAACTTTCTGAGCATTCCACTAGAACAAGGAGAAGAAAAGTTGGAAGAATCATTGGAAAAATTCAAGGTAAGTTGCTTTAATTATATGTTTGTTTTAAATTTAATGCTGATGCATTTTGTATTTCATGTTACTTTCAGAAAACATTCACTTTCTTCATCCTTTATTGAATAGATCTCAACAAATGTTGATTTCACAACTTAAATAGACAAGGGTGTGCTGAAAAGTTTTTGGCCTGACTTACTCCCCAAAATCTGGCCAAACATCAGATTTGTTTTTATTTTGAAAGGACTGAATAGTTGAGCTAAGAACTTTTCAGCACCCTTTCTTACTTTCTATCTGTTGTTTAATTATTTTGTTAATGGAAAAAAATTTTCATTTATCTCATATTTAAGTACAGTTTTATCTATATATTTTATTGAAAAATGTGCTTTTTTTATTCATTCTCTTTTAGATTTCTCTTTTTGTGTACAATACTAAGCAATGAAGAAGTTAAGTAGAAAAATAAAAACATCTTTTGAATTTGTTAAAATATACATCCAATAAATGAACCATAAGTAGGAATACCATGAATAATTAATATTCTAAAAATAATCTGATCTATGAAGTAAAATTGCATCAAAATTATTCCATGATAGTCAATTTCAAATCATGATTTTTATAATTTAAATTTTTAACTTTACACTTTGCTATAATTTTGCTTAAGGTGAATATATTCCATTTAATTTTGACCATAAACATAGATAGCTTCACTTCAAGCAGATAAAAATTTGAATTATTTATTACCAGAAATTACATTTCAATTTAATTTCAAATAGAGATGTTAAATTAACTGTTTCCTTTCTCTCTAATCAGTATTATATTTTAATTAAAGAGAATAAAATGTTTTAAGATAGATGCTTTGATGCTTCACTTCAAAATACACTTATTGCATATAATTTATTGCTGTTATATATTTTGACAGAAAATAGAATTCTTTTGATTTATATAGTACCTATAATGTTACAGTAAATTATTATAAGAGAAAAAAGTTTACAGTGAATACAACATTAACTTGACATTAAAACTTTGATAAATATTTAAAAAGATATTTATTCATTCTAAGATTTGTTATTTCATCCCATGGACTCTCTTTAGAATCAAACAATCACTCAAACATTGATTGGTGTTTATGTCAGTACACATTGTGTTCACACATTCTTCAAGCAAAATGCAGACATTTGATATCTCATGGATATGTAGCCAATTATTTGATAGATTCTGCCACTTAATTAATTCTGTGTAATGTGTTATATTTGATTTGTGTTAAATAGAGCACAAGTCTGTAAAATTTTAATTCATATATTATTATTCTAAAATGATACCATTATTCTAAATCCTGTAAGTGTAAAATTATCTGGAAAAGTCAGGTTGATATTTTCAATCACACAAATTTCTTTTAACACTTTGAAATTTAAGCAAAGCTTTCTATTTCATTTATAATTGTCTTTGCCATTTAATTATTCCCATTTTTAACAAAAAATAGAAGACAAGATAAACAGAAATCATATTTTTATGAAATGATTGAAAAAACAACATTTTATTTCTGTTAACAGATATGAACAAGTAATAAACTTACTCAAAAAGTTACTTCACTTTTATGTGTATAATAAGCATTTCAATAATGGCCTGATTACTTTTTCAGGACATCTTACTCAAAATTGTTTCTTCAGGATGGATTACTGAGAATTTGTTGCCTTTTAATTAATATTTTTCTCATTTTTATCAGCAATAACTGAAGTAATACAAATAAAAGAATTAATTATCCTCCAAATCTGTTTTGGGTTTAGAGTCAAGACAAAAACGGGCAAATAAAAATGAAAGAAAACAGATTAAAATGAATTGGGATAAGTACTTATATAATTGAAAAACAAGACACCTACCATAGCACAATGATTAACAAACTACTTTCACATATATTTACTAAGTTTGATGTTTATTGAGTAATCTACTATTATAGGTTAGTGTCAAGCTAAGCTTAGTAAATTGCTATAACTAGAAAAACAAATCTCTGGCATAAGTGTGCTAAAGAGTTACATAGAGTAAACAAGATTGTATTTTCAGAAAATTATCTTTTGCCAATTTCCTGTTGGAATATGCATTCCAGTTATGGAATTCTGGATATTGATGATGCCTCGAACTAAAAATATTTTGAAGACTTCTACTTAAATCATTCATATTTGCTGTGTGATGGTTTTATAATCTTTTAATCTGATGTACTATAGTGTACTTACATTATTGCATAATAAAAAAGATTAAAAATATCAGGAAATAGGTTTTAGGTATTAAACAAGATAATTTCTATTGTCATAGTTTTGTTTGATCAGAGTGTAAGCTGAAATTATGTGTAATAGCAGGATTTTAATTTTTAAAAAAACAATAAGCAAAATGGGCATTTTCAAAATTTGATCTGAAGCCCTTTTAAAATTTAAAAATTATCTACTATCGTTTCCTCAAAAATTATTTTTTGCTGGTGTCATGTGCACATATGTATATCAGTATAATTTTGAATAGTACAACTATAAATACATGTATATATTATTGTGTAGTTTATAATACAGCTGTAATGTAACATAATTGCATTATTATAAATTTTCAAATCCTAAAACTGGCATCTGTGTATATTACAGTAAGTATTACACTTATTAGTACTCATTTTATTTTGATTTTGATGAGGTCAATTGTTTATGACTATACTGATTGGCAAACTTACCATATTTCAGGATAATACAAATAAACACTCATACTATTAGTTTAACTCACTTTTTACTCTATTCCAAAACATCCCATTCTTGAATGTTCTAAATCACTTAACCCCAAATTGAGATAATATATCAATTAATCTTTTTTTCAATTAAGAGATTTATAAATTTGTATTTGTGCTTAGTAATAAAACAACCTGATATAAGCTCAAACATTTATGCTAAACAATGAGCTTTAAATACAATTCTGAATGTCCTACTTAAAAAGAGAAGATTGATCTGAATACACATCTTCATCATTAAGAGTTTTAAATGGTTGACATTTTAGTGATCAAATAGATACACTTGCATTGTCTTTCATAAATATGGTTATATTTTAATGTATTTCAAATTAAAGAATCAACTTGTCAAATAATGTCTCTTGTTTAAAAAGAAACAAATGAGGTTAAAACATTCCTCTTAGTTGAACCTGTTTTACTGTGTAAGTTAAGGATAACATATAAGTGGCTACTGCTTAGCTGTTAAGTTTCTATAGGAAATCAATTCATACACATAAGCTAATTCTTGTAAATCGATATGATCTGATAAAAATGTTGTTGCTTAAGTTTTCAGAAATATCCATTAATCAATTATTTTTTAATGAAGAACTCAGTAAAAATGTATTATTTTCTATAAATATTATTTGCTATATTTGTATATATTCACCCATTTTTTATTTTTAAAGAAATTCCTCTTAAATATAAAAGAACAAGATCTCTAAAAAACATAACTTTATCCTTTAGTTTGTTAGAGATTCTTAAAAGACCATCTGATTACTCAGAATTGTAATATGTGCATTTCATAACACTTTATATATGGCAACTACAAATACTTCATTGGTATTACAGTATTTATAATAAAATAATGCTGTGTCTCTTAGGTGAACATGGATTTTCACATTTTTTTTCAATATCTGTATACTGTGCATTGTCATGCCTATTTTTAGGAAAAATAGTGATGTGGTTTTGATTTCAAACTTGTCCTTCTAGACTGGTTTTCCTACCAAGGCTAAAGAGTCTACTTCCTCTACCTACCCCACTATTTTATCTATGTCTGGGAGAGAAAAAAAGATGAATTTATGCCTTTCCTAAAGACATTTATGTGAAATGAATGCAATATCCTCAGCCTGAATTTTACTCAATGAAATATCAAACAAATTAAAAACTTCTTTGCATGTACTTAAGTTAACATATCTTGCAATTTTATTGTAGATGAAAGGAGTCAAGTTTTCTCATTGTAAAATAATGTGCAACAAATAAGTGCCCTGAAATAAAATTTTTTTAAAAAATATGCTTTTATGTAACTATAGTTTTAGTTCGGATAAAATTTTAAGAATACATAAAAATAATCATCTGATGCCATTCAGCAACGATGTTTGCTAGAGGCTCTCTCCAAAGCTGAATACACTGTAAGAACTTATACTAAATTAAAACTTAAAAACTTATAGATTATGTATTGTGTTTTTGCTTAAAGTCTGGTTTAAAAGTAATTCAGGCAGCTTTGCTATCAAACACAGCTTTAAGAAACAGTAGACCTCTTAAATTCATACCTCTATTGGCTAAGAGAAGGAAACTGCAACATAAAAAACTCATTACCATTGTTCTACTTGCTGAGCCATGCAAGTAAACCCTTAATTTAATGGGTTTTGTTAGTGTCCCCACTTCAAAAAATTGATTTGTGCAGTCCTGGATAAAAGAAATGATAATGCCACAAAACCAGTACCCACTCCAGCTGCTATTTTTTTTTTCCTGTATCTATCGAGAAAGTACTTGTCTCTTATGAGCCCTGTTGGTCACTAGTTAACCTAAAAAATATGTGGAATTTTCTTATAAATCTTTATACCCATAAACATAAAAATAGTAACCTCTTACTGGATATATTTGTCTATATCAGATTTAGATAAAATGTAAGGACTATTAACCAGAATCTAAATATTATCTGGTAGCTCTCAAAATAAGTTTTAAAATTTTAGTATAAATAGTCAATAAATTTATTTTCAATCAAAATAAGAATGGTTTTATATATTTGACAGAAAGAAGTAAAATTACTCCATCACTGATTATATTTTGTTTTAAATATTTCCTTATCAGAATATTTATAGAAAATACTTTTACTAAATCTAATTAAGTTTATAAAATAATAAACTAATTAGTCTTATGTTGACAATAATTTTTATATTTTAAGATTGAAATTAATTGATTAGTTTGTTAACAAAGAGAGAAAATGATCAAGTTGAAGAAAATATTTCCTGTATAAATAACCTTAGCAGTCATGCTTTTTGCATTCATT